CAGCGTACTCTCGTCATCAATTTTTTAAAATTCTTCAGCGCCCCCACCACCACCAATTTTTCAGCGCCTCCTTCAAGTTTGCTCTGGATCCGCCCCTGAGCCTATGCAACACTTATTGTTCAGAATGCTCAACCAAAAACCCAATTGAACTTTCGTATGCTAATCAGCATTCTGAAACATCCTTAACGTCATCTGATAGGCAAGACGAGTTTGAAATATCTTTGTTTGAAATATCTGTTTAGTCGCCTTGATTCATGCGACATCGACAAACTCTAGCTTAAGAACAGAGGACCATAACCACCAAGTCATAAGGTAATGGGAAAATCCTTACCAGATATTTTGGCCTACTTCTAAACATCTGCCTGAATAAGCCTTCTAAGGATAAACTCAACAGAAATACAAACAAAGAAGTAGATACTGCAGAAGGTTGGGACATCCATTAGCGAATTAAAAATAATTGCGTTCTTTTGCTTAAAGACCCCAGGAAGCATATTGTTTCCGCTATAAGAATAAGCGAACTGCTAACAGGAAAAGACGGAGGCAAGAGACCATAAATGACTTGGTTTCAAGACAACCAGATTTGGACAGTACTGACAATTTCAGCTATAACATCTCTGGTAATGGACAAAAACAGAAGGCAAGGACTAGTGGCAACCACAGAAGTGTGTTTTGCGCCACTTTCTGTCTGATTGAATCCTAATAAGCTTAGACAAACAGGGGATCGTCAAGACAATAGTCTTTTTCTATGCAGAAGGTCAGTACCACTGTTCTAACAATGCTGTTCCCATCAGTTAATATTAAAAATGACACAATACTACCTAGTTTGTTACTTAAGATTAATACACATGGACAAGAATTCTGCAAAACAAAAGAATGACAAGAACTCCCCTTACCAAAACAAAGAAACAATTTCCCATATGCTTCCCATATGCTGTCACCGAATTAAAGAAGTTTTCATTCTTCTTTGAGGAATATTGTTAACCTTGATCCATGGAACATTAGAACAATTGCTTGGTTGTCATTTTAAAGTAATTAATCAATTGAAGATCAACAACAGAAAAAGGCAATTTGAATATTGAAGCACATTCTTCTGTATTCACAGAATCTTTTACATGAATGTGGAAGGTCTTTTGGCAACAAAAGTTGATTTGAACTGCGATTTGACAACCCTGTGAGTCAGTGGGAATCTGATCTTCGAGTTCTGTGGAACAAAAATATCAAAACTTTGTATGAAGAAAAAAAGTGGTGTAAAAAGCTAGGCAAGATCAAATATACAAAATTAAAACAGGGTAAAAACTTGTGTAATCAGTCATCATAAAGCAGACAGAATAAATAAAGCAAAATAAAAAACTTGAACTTTGCTGGTGCTTTTTGTACAATGCTGAACTTTTGGAGATTGTAACAAAAAATATAATTTTGGAGATTGCCAGTTATTCAACTATTTATATTCAACTGAAATAGCTTAACAATTGACAATCCCTTAATGCAGCTTCTAAAAATGGGGTTTTTCAATGTGGCCTTCAAAAGAACTTGTTTTGCTTGAAAATTAAGATTTGCCAAAGATTAAGCTGGAGACACACGCCATACAAGCTTATAAAATGCAAAAGCAAGATATTACATTGTTTTAATCTCTAATAATAGCCATTGGGCACCAATAAACTTAACACTATAGCTAAATACAGTTCCACAAGGTTCTAATTTGTTTGTGGATTCAGTTCAGTATGGCTAGCAGATCCATAAAAACTGTTCCTTGTGGTTCAGTAGAAAATACAAGCACAGACGTATTCGAAGAGCAATCACTCTAGGGAAATTCGATTATTATGCAGTTAGATTAACTGCTGTATATATATACTTCAGACAATTAACTTAAAAACATTGCCTGCTGAACTCTCTTGTGTAAAAAATATTAAAATTTTGTTAATGTTATTATGACCGCAACCATCCTCTATCACATATCCAAAGCAAACACTGCAGACAAAACATGACCATTTAATGTGTCAACTCACATGGAATTGAGTGATGCTTGGTCTCTTGCATTTTGATGCTGGAATCACCTCAACTTTGATTAATTGAATTGATGAGGCACGGGCCCTGTGACGTGCAGCCATATCCAAATCTGAAATTTAATAATTTTACATTTCAATAATTCTGAATGGCTTTACCGTATTCATTCAAATAATTATGTGTAGGCTCAATTTGCGGTGGTTTATAATCAGGGGGGGGGGCTTATAAAAAAGGGTGGCTTACAGTGCTTTGCCCAAATCCTGCCAAGCTTTCCTGCTTCCTTGAAGCTGAGGTTGATAATGTCCAAGATGAGGAAGAAATACTTCTGGACAATATTGTTTTTGCTTGAACTAATGGGGGGCAATTTTTTGGTATAAGTACATACTCAGGTTTTTATCAGTTTTCAGTACACCATTCTAAACCAAGTAT